AGACGCCAATAAACGCACGGTTGATGGTTTATGTGTGATTTTCTTATTTTAGTATTATAATATGAATAAAAAAATGTTTAAATTATACATTCATAACAGTTGTAGTGATCAGCCGCATCACTGTAAAACCCAACAAGTTCAGCTAAATCAAAACATTTGAGGATATCGATTACCTCAATTCAATTAACCCCCTGTGGACCAAGGTGTATTTGGGGTCCTTGAGATGTTCTGACATGCCCTGGAGATTTGTGCTTTTTTCAGTTGCTTATAAACATATTAATGGCACAGGTGAAATTACACTATATTTAGCACAAACAGGGCTACCATAATATGTGAGCAACATGTATGTACATGTTTGTATTTTTGAGAGAATATTGGTTATGCGTGGTTATTGAAAAAACTAAAAATGAAAGTTTCTGAAATAAGGCCACAAAACACATACGAAATATGCTTTTTTAAATAAATACTTCATTTACAAGAAGAGAATTTTAGCTTCATAAAGAGAAATCTTTTGTGTCTCTGTGACAAGTATTTAATGAGTTACAGTTCATTTTTCGGACGTGTTTCAGAAAGATTTTTCGAGCTCAAAGCACACCCTGTTTATTTTATTTATTTTACAAAAACACAAGGTTTTGATGTTAATAAGAGTGTACACAAAAAAGAAGACCCTCTATAGTTTATAATCATGTATTGATTTTATTTATATGACCATTAATGACGGAGTATTTTAAGTCTATGTTGCAGCTATGTGAAAAAAAAAAGATCAAAACGTGGGGGTGCGTTTTTGCTCCCCAGAGGGTTAATTAGATAAAATGAGTACTCTGTACTTATTTTAATTGAGTCCACTAAAACAAGGATATTTCTTATTACACAATTAAACTTCACTGCATTCCAATACTTTATAACTGAAACTTCACTATATTGAGTAAAACCACTGAAATTACAAACTTTAAATGAACTGAGTGATTGAACTGAGTGAGTGAAGAGTGCTTGCAATTACTGCTAGCTCACAATATCACACACAAAGACAAATTCAATAACTTAAGCTAACTCATAACATTTGAGGATACCGAAATTCAAATTTCATTATTCTAGAGCCATGAGTCGAACTTGCTCACTGAGGTTTGTTCTGATCAGCCTTTGGTAACCTTGTCTGATAGCTACTCAAATTTCATTGGCGGCAGAGACTATTTATAAAGAGACATGCCACTTCCTCAATTCTTAATAGAAATGTATGGAAAACCCGTAACACCAAAGATGGCGGTTGTATGCCCCGTCCCTCCCGCTGGATAGCCAATCGTCTGCTTTTAACGGTCAAGCCGGGAAACATTTAAATACGTTACTGTTTGAAAAGGCACCAGATTTGATATGCAGTGTATGTGTGCGTTGTGTAAATATCAGACATCCCAAGTCTCCCAGAAGTTCCGGGTGTCTCCCGCAGATTGATAGAGGCTCGCTGATGCCTGCAAATTAGTTCAAATCTGCCGGAATCTAGAGCGAGCGAGCAAGAGCGCGCACATACCGTGTTTCAAACTGTGCAGCATGCGCGCGACAGAGAGCGAGAGAACCCTCGCGCATGCGCAGTAAAACTATAACCTGTGGGAAAAACGGCGTTTTAAACCTTATTTTGGGGAAAAAGTAATCAAAGTTTTTCAGCGATTTTTATTATATTTTACTGATGTTTCTATACATGCAGTTTTTATGTCCCGGTGACCAGTGAAAGTGCAGTTCTGACTCTCTGCCAATTCATTTAGATAGAGCCTGGTCTTGTTAAGTCCGAAATAGCTGTCCGGAAGCGTTGCCAAGATGGCGGCCGATGGAATGTCCTCATAGACTATCGTGGCAGCTCACACAAAGACAGCGCATGCAAATTTCAAGTCATTTGGGCAAACGATTGCGTGGTTATAGACATTTCTTTATTTTTTGGCACCACCAAGTGGCCCATCGTCGCAAATTTTTTCAAGTAACCTCAGATTGAGGTATCTACTTCTAAAATATCTAGTCCGTTCATGAGTTATAGCCATTTTTGTAAATATGGCCGCCGACATATAAAACATTTTGGCACCCCCTTGCGACCATGCAGCGAAATTTAGAATTTTCTTGATAATTTTTGATACTCAGTCTCCAGAGAATCTTGCTGCACTGGTTTGGTTCCGATTGGACTAAAAGTTAAGGACTAGCGTGCAAAAGTAGGTTTTTCACAAAATCCCAAATTACTCAAAAAAATTGTCGCCTGAAGTGCGAGCAAATCTGAGGCATGCATTTTGTCCGCCTTGAGCCAGGGATTCCAATGATGTAAAACACTTCAGTCTACGCATAACAGTTTAGGAGTTACACCATTTTAATAAGCCGTAGCGCCCTCATCAGGCCAATCTGGGCGGGCCTTGGTGACGTTGTAGGCGGTGTGAATACCACCAGCCCTCCAAGTTTCAAGTCTCTACGACTTACGGTTCGGTCTGCCCGATCAGTTTTAGATAGAGAATGCTGCATCATGGGAAAATTAACAATAACAATAGGGTTTCAACACTATATGTTTGAACCCCTAATTAAAATATTTTTCTCTGTAAAGAATAAATGTGGTGCTGCATTAGAATTTGGCCAAAAAATAATTGTGATTTTAACGGTAAAAGACTGTTACCGTTCTGTTTAATTGGTTAACAGAAAGTTTCCGTACTATATACGGTAAATAACTGTGATAGATCTCATGGTACATTACTGTAAAATACCGTTAAATTTACAGCTTTTGAAAGTAAAAAAAGAACAACTCATTGTATAATTTACAGTGAAAAACCGTAAATTGACATTCCCACAATTCCCTGTGTGACACTTCACATTTTATGTATTTTTGTTGAAATAACTAAGGTTCCTCATAGTTTTATATTACATTTAATGTTGTTGAATGTTTATTGCATCTTTTTTTTTATTTCATGTGCGTTACCATGTGCTACCATGATGACACCATACATGTTTGTGTGAATGACTAATGGAAGACTGTTAGTGATGAGCTTTGATTGATCATGCGACTCATCACTGCTGTGATGATTGTTGGCATTATATCAGATCATGAAATACGGTTTACTACTGTAAATTTTCTGTCTGTAAAACCAATAACGGTGCTACCGTGTTTTTGACGGTAAATGATTTTTATCGTAAAACTCACGGCTTTATTTTCTACAGTGTACGGTATTTTAGGAAGCTACATAATTAAATTTCCCACCTGTTGTAACAGCCTTCATGTGAGGAGCCCACCTATGATGTCTCAAAATGTTGCCTACGGAAGGGAAGCAGCTGACTTGGTTTTGGAACAGAGCTTATATCTGTTACTGGATTTTTGTGTGTGTGAGCATGAAGGGAGGTAGTGAAAAATTGAAGCCTTAGCTCCTGCACTGCTGCAGTTTTTAGTATTTCCCTCATGACTGTCTTGTTTTGTATTCAGTTCTTGTTATTTGAACTGCTATATTCTACCGGCACAGGGCTTTTGAAACACACCGATAGGTTTCAGGGGAGATGGAGGATACTGACAGGTCAAAGCAGCTTCAAAAAAACCTGGTTCCCGTGTACTGAATCATTCTAGAGTTTAAACATACACAAATATATGAGGGAGAGCGAGTGGCTTCAACCAACCAGAGATACATTTTAATAGGTTAAACAACTGAGTTTTGTACTGTTCTTCTGGAGTGAGCATGAGACATCCTCACTAGCCCTTTACATAGACATACTACCTTAAAAATCCTACAGTTAAAGCATGAATGATAGCTTATAATATGAGATAATGTGAACACCATTATTAAAAATAAGTAGCGCTTAAGTACATCTTTATTTGAAAGTTCATAATTATCTTTATAAACATAGTTAAAATATATGAATGTACTGACAAGGAATTATGGTAAACTACTGTATGTCATACATTTTAATATATTTTTTTAATTACGTATTTGTAGTGAAGTTTCACTTTAGTACATTTCAAATATAATATATAACTTTAAATATACTATATAACAGTTAAAATGAACAGGTACTTTACATTTATTCCTTTAGTATGTTAGTCAACATCAAAATAAGTTTACTTCTTTAAAGCATGATTTAAAAAGTATTTCAAAGTACTAACATGAACTAACAATAAGAAATTTGTTAAAATATTTATTAATCTTTGACAATGAACAACTGTATTTTTATTAACTAACATTAATGAACCTTATTGCAAAATGCTACCAATGTGTCTATTGAAATAGAAGTGCTGTAGACTTTCTATGCATTGCTAATTTCGTATCTAGCATTTATCACTCAAAGGCACATATTGTTAAAACAAAAATTTCATTCAAAATTTTAGTTTAAATGGGCCTAAATGAAATCTGATTACCTTTATTTTGGAGCTGAAAGTACTGCACTCTCATTGAGTTGAAAGTTTCATAAAAGCCACAATTGTGGATAAATCAACACGAAAGGGTTATGTGAGATATTTTGTGATTGACAGGCATTCCAATTCTGAGTGGCCACAGATGTCATGCCTGACGATAAAGTATAAACCTATTAAAGTCGGCCTACGCTGAGCTCTTAGGTTGCTGTGTACTGGAATATGCTTCTGTGGATCCCAAACTTCAATGTCATTTCCATATCATTTTTTTTTTTTATTCAAAAGAGATTGCAGATTTTCAGATGAAACAGTTGTGATTGCAGCAAGCAGACTTGATTTCATGTCATGATTTTTTTCAGGCTGAAATTTTCTTTCTTTGCTTTTTTTACTTCATTTGTGTGTGTGTGTGTGTGTGCCTCCAATCCAAATTTTGTGGTTTCTGGCTTAAAGTCTTTATTATAAAGCTTTTCGAAATTCCTAGGAGGAAAATGGATGGGGAAAACCAAGGCTGCAGAAAAAGTGGGTGGTAACTGTTGTGATCAATTGTATTATTTGACAAGTTCAATTGCATTTAAAATGGACTGAAGCGCAATCTCAGTTTACATACTTTATGACCCCAGGTGGCAGACAGGAAAAAAAATCTTACCATTGAAAGAGGAATGATGGCTTGGATGTCCTTCTGCACAACCGTCAGCTCTGTGACCACCTTCTCTGCATCCGACACTGGATTCTGGCCCCGGTAATCAATATTCCAGTTGATTCTTCTGGTGACTGATTGGCTGGTGAAGTTCTCCATCTCAAAGTCTAGCTGCATAATTTCAATGTTGGCAGCCACGTCCCTGAAGAGATACAAAGATGATCATGTGACAGAGAGCAGCACACTTAAATAATCAATACTAACGCTGGAAAGAAGAAGAAATAAAAAAATACTGGCTATCCACCAAATGTAGCCATTAGGATCATTTAGAAGAGTCTAATTAGGGTCAGGTGTGTATTTAAAGCTTAAATGGTTTAATATGCTGGCCTTAAACAAAAACAGATGTTCTGTCATGTATTAGGTATTATATATTGAAACATCCAGGAAATGAATCAATCAGAGAGCCCATCTGTTGTATAGGACTGGATTACAGGGGCTAGAAATTGATTTTTAAATTTCAAATTTAAGGAAAGAATTCCAAACACTCAAGTATAAGCACTGGGACTGTTCACCATTTGAATCATCACGCTTGTCTTTGTGCATAGAAAGGCTGCATTTCTCTCAATTTATTCTAAATTTCTCTAAATTCACAATTTATTCATTCATTCCCTCTTTTTAGTAAATTGTGGCCATATTGAATTCATTTGTTCCCTTGTTTTGATCTAACTAAAACAAGGAAACGAATTACAGTACAACGTTGTTTCGATTTAGTAAATCTTCTAAAAAGTGAAACTTCACTTCTGCATTTCTGTGGCCAACAAACAAACAAAGCACTGTTTTTTTTTATACTTTTCAAGAAAATCAACTAATAAATGGCTTACTTAGTTGTCTTTTCTAAGTTGTCTTACTTTTCGCCGCTTGCTTAGTGTCACGGGTGCGGGTTCAGGCAGAAGGACGAACAGGCAGAGTCCAGAAAAGCTCCAATACAAAAGGTTTATTCTCAAATAACAGGAAACAGGCAGGCGAAACACAGGGTGACATTAACATCGACCGACAAGGACAGACTGAATGGGAAGGAACTAAATACACACAGGAATCAAACTAAACGAGGTGAAAACAGGTGAAACAGATGAATACAGGACGCTGAACGGGAGGCTGATGAGGGAGTGAGTTCAGGTGTGGAGACAAGAGGATCCTGGGAAGTGTAGTGCTGGAGACGCAGACAGGATGGTGCAGACGAAGACTGTGACACTTAGTTGGGGACATAACATTTTATGTTCAAAAATATTATTAATCTGCCTAACAAAACTTTGCTGCATTATTTTCCTGTTATCTCTGTAAAGCTGCTTTGAAACAATCTGAATTGTAAAAAGCGCTATAGAAAGAAAGGCGACTTGACTTGACTTGTCTCTGCAGATTAAGCTGAGATAGGGAAAAAATGCACATCGAATACACATCAACAAAACAATAAAAGCAAAAATACTGCACATTGACATACCAATAATCTTTGATGTGAAGTGCATTGGTGAAATGAACGCAGATGTAGTTATAAAAACAGCTGAGCACAACAGCTCAGCAACATACTGGAATTAAATTGGCGACACGGGGAAAAACGGCAACAGTGCCCAGCAGAAATAGTTTCTTCAGAGCCTCTGCAGGAAACCTCCATCATGGATAGTGACAGGTTAAATGAGTTCTGTCTGTTGATCTCATGCACACTCATCAAGGATTATTTCCTTTATCTGAGACTCCTGTTACACAGGTAGATGTGCTGATAGCAGCTGACAACCACGCTGAGAGAGGCGGCCAAAAAATAAATACCCTTGCTGGGAGTGGAAAAATGCTGCAGGGTTATCAAAATGTTATCTGCGGGGGCTAATTAATGTGTCAGAACTGCAAAAGCAACAACTTCTTCTAGTGCGCAATACGAAAAATCACATTAAATTGAACCGAAATCTTTTTTTTTTTTACAGGCTTAGTGTACTTAAGCCGCACTTCAGATGTAGGAATGTCATTGAATTGGATATCAAAATATCAAACAAAGGATATCTTGAAACAAATGATGCAAGATCTTTTCTAAGAACTAACTTCACTTTTAAAAAACATGTCCCAAGGCAATGTTTAGTGAATGCATGAAGTTAGTTGCGTACTGTTTCGCAAAAAGAAAGACATTTATTTTTCTTTTTTAAAAGAAATGAATATTTTTATTCAGCAAGGATACATTAAATTGAACAAAAATATTTCACAATATTACCATTTAACAATGCATAAAAAACTGAATCTGAGCTGCATTAAGACAATCAAATATATATATTTTTTTTTAAATTTTGAGCAATATATTTGTCATTTCAAAACTAACTTACAATGCAAGCTCTTTCTATATATGTGTGTGTTTTTTTTTGTCACAGTTATGTTCAGTTTGTGTTATAAGATTCATGTTTTTGTTGTTCACACGGACACCGTTTTCATGCACCCAAAACGCAGTTGTCGTGAAACTGAACGGCCAAAAGTTACTTTTCACCATTGGCTTTTGGCTTGCTTAGTTGGAGACATAACATTTAATATTCAAAAATATTTCATATATATTTTTAAGTGCCTTTAAAACACGTTTTCAGGCACCCAAAATGCAGTTTTGGGTGAAACCGAAAAGCCAAAACACATAAAAAGTTTTACGCTTTTTCTCGCATGCGCGATAACTGCGATCTCCTTCAGCTACTTCAGTTCAGTTCTCGCGTATGCGTCATGGAAATCTCGTGAACTCTTGTCTCAGGCCTACAAGGAAGAAAAGAAATAGTCGAATAAAGTAATTATTTTTGTCGTTTTTTTCCCGCAAAAAAAGTATTCTCGTCGCTTGATAAAATTATATTTAAACATTTTCTTCAATGACTTTCTGGGCCGTCAAGTTTCAATCCCTTAAGCCTAGTTCACACTACATGATTTTAAAATGTTGGGCTGAACTGTGCAGTTCACATTACATGACTTGCTCTCAGTGAAATCATGAGTGTTCAAGTTGTTTAGCTGTTCACACCACACAACACAACGTGATTGATCCACAACAGGAGGTAACTCACTACACGAGTTAACAACGCACTATATAGAGATACAACCACGATCGGATGATAAGAGCATATCATTTGTGACTCAATGAGAGCTGTTTCAGTACTATAGTACGGTCTAAATCCTGAAAATAATCAAACAAATAACGAGTTGACAACAACACGATTCTATCTGGTCTAGAAACCATGTTTTGTAACGAAAAACCACGCAATAAAACGAACCAGAAATGACGCGAAACTGCAGAGAAGAACACAACACGCGAATATGGACGTCAGACAGAAACTAGTGCTGCACACTGTTTGCTCGACGATCTGCTCTGAGAAAAAAAATGCAAAAAAGAAAAAGTAAGATTTACCTGGTGTCCTCAACCCATGCGTTGCTATGATTGGCTGTACTCATGACATCACTGAGATTGAGTCGCGCGACTGCTCGAGATATCTAGCATGCTAGATATTTTTCTGAGCTCGGTGAGCTGTCTGCGAGCTGTCTTTGATGCGTTGTTGGCTCTTTCACACTAACGGATTGGCGAGCGTTAATCGTCCGCTAATCACCCGCGATTTGCACGCGATAACACCCTGACTTGTCGGCGACTCAACGATTTGCAAATCGGGCTTAAATCGGGCTTAAAATCACGTAGTGTGAACTAGGCTTGAGGGTGCCTATGTGGTAGTGATCCACCTATCTTCATTTGTGTTCCGAAGATGAACAAAGGTCTTACGGGGTTGGTACAGCATGGGGGTGAGTAATTAATGACTTAATTTTCATTTTTGGGTGAACTAACCCTTTAAGGCTATGTTTACACGGAAACACAAGAAGAAAGAAATCTGAAGAAAAACACAAAAGTGGCATTGCGTTATCACTTTATACTCTGTTTAGACGAGCGTTATGGGTGGGAAATACGCGTGCATATGGTGATGCAAAAGCAGTGTTGGGGAAGCTACTCTGAAACTGTAGTTTGACAAGCTACTTGTAAGTTAAAGAAGTTAAACTACAGTCAAGCTACCCTTTTGGAAAAGTAGTTTGCTACACTACAAGTTACTATTAAAAAGTAGCTAGGCACATTGAAACTACTTTTGCTTTTTGAACAACGTAATAAATAACTGAATAAGTGTCTGATGAATGTTTTAAGTAAAATATTTAGTGTTTAAAACAATGCAATACAATTATGATTTTAAAGAGTATTGTTTTATTACACACAACACTCAAATATCTCAGACTGTTAGCCTACAACATTGCAAGAACAAAATATACATCCACATAAATTGCATATAGAACATTTTCTCAAAAATACCGATTGAACTTGGACAAATAAGGCCATGGGTAATTACCGTTAGTTGTTTCTCCATCCTCCAAATCTGCCGTTGCGTCTTACTCCATCATGGATAATCATAATATGGGTATGTCAACCCACTTCTGTACGTCAGTAAACCGTTAGCCGCAAGATGCGTGATTAAACAACAGGTGGCGGTAATGGCAAAAAACGAGTTTGTAATCTAACAAGAAGAAGAATATCCTTGCATCGCGCTGATTCGCGCAGGCTCGACAAACGCGATGTAGCTTTTGCTCGCGCTACACCGCTACTTGCTGCAAAAATGTAGTTAGCTACTGAAAAACCTACACTGTTTAAAAAGCAACTGAGCTACTGCCAAGCTACTGAAAAATGTAGTTAAGTTAGTAGCGTCGCTACTTGTAGTTAACTACTCCATAACACTGTGCAAAGTGTGTGAAATTCGATGTAGTATGCACTCCAGGTGGCAAGGTGGCAATGTGAAGCACTGCCACACAACAACACAGTCCGCGCGCCTGCGTACAACCTTTACTCTAGCATACTTTTGCGTTTTTAACCTTTAGACGGGAATGAGACGGTGGAGCGTTTTTAAGATTTCCACACTTTTTTTTTGCGTTTTTAAGCCCCCAAAACACCGTCGCCGTGTAAACGTAAGGTACACCGATAAAATATTTTTACTTTTTCACACGCGAGCGTTCTCGTGTAAACATGGCCTTAGTGTGTGTTGCCCTGCCTGTCTGATTATTAGTTGTATTATCCACATTTAACTTCATATTGGAACGTTATTCTTCATCTGCCTTCAGACAGTAGTACCTTAAGACAGAATTAAGTGCCTACATTAGTGTATATAAGCTGTATGGATTTTGTATGGATATGGACAATGCATTTTTAGTGCAATACTACTCTTGTACGTACACTACAGTGGCCAAATGTTATGGTTTACAAAACCCCTTTGTACCGACTGTGCGATTTCGGCAATACAATAGGATCATTACAAATTACACTGTAAGACATGGATCTAATGAACTTTGGGTACAACATACGATGAACGACATCTAATAAATCGTACGCTACGGCGCAAGTTAGTAAAGAAGAATAAAATCATCAGCATGTGCTAGTGGAAAACAAATAAATCAAGATGACTTTGGCAATTGTGGTCTTTATGTGCAATGAAAAACAGAGGAGGAAGCGAAACAGGAGAATATGGATGCGATCATGGGAATGGATCGAAGAGAAAAGTGGCCAACTTGGCATGCCAATTTTGCAAATGGATCTTGATGCAAGTAGCTTTATGTTTTAGCGGCATGTCGCATTGATCAATACGCCAATTCATGTTGCATTTTCATTGGCTATAGTCTGAAGACATATTCTGACAGTGTCGGAGAATTATCGCAGGCTATCTTTGGTCGCAAACCATCGTATATGAACCACGACCACAAAAAAACGCCATGATTAGTCATTTTTCGTTTGGGACAGCCCAAAATTATACAATGTGCACCGGGCATTAGGAGATACTGTTTTGTTACTAATTATTGTTTGGCTAATTTGAAATTGATGTGGCCAATACAGTCACTTAAGTGCGACTTCTACTAAAAGTTGAATCACTTTTCCTTTTTTTTAGTTTCCTTTTGTTTAAGGCGAACAGTGAATCAATCTCTATCAAACGCGTTTGCTTTCTTGATATCCATTCATTGGGCACTGTATTAACAAAGTTAATATTGCCTTAATTATTTAGCCATTGCTGAGAATTGATTGTCCTGCACAACAGGGGAGGAAGCCAGGGAAGAGTTTAGCAAACAATCAGTCATGAAGCACCGTCAGCTTTCAGAACGCCCTGCTTTTAGACTCATTTAAGGCTTGCTTAACTCTGAGTGCAGAAACATAAGGAGAGAAAGAATTGGCATGAGTGTGCAGCTGAATCTCTAATTGAAAATACACTAATGGAATGATGAAGCTTGTCTTATGTTGACAAATAATGCTGGCAATGCCTTCTAGCCCAGCCCCAAACCACATTCGCAATGTTTGCTTCCAGCAGTCGAATCACTCATTAAAACTGTTAGAAAAGATAGATGGTGAAAGATAATGGGGCGGCGTATGCAAAGAAATTTGCAAGTCTAAGAAGAGAGCTGAAGTCTGCGGACAGAACGAGCCGCGCTAAGAGAAAATCTATACGAGGAAACGGCATCGATAGAAATTATTAATCTTCCCAGACAACAAGCTCATGCAGGCATTACTTTGTTACGATGCAAAAGGCCCCCAGCCACATCTAGACGTGTATTCTCCAAAACCATTGAGTTCAGCTGTGAAATAGTCCCAAAACAAGCGGTAAGTTCTGTTTGTTGTGGGGAAAAGTGCAAAGCTGTTTAAACCTGCATTAAAAATAACAAGCAACTCCTTTCTACAGTCTGGTGTCACATTGGCGCTTGACAACGTGTCAGAGACTGGTGCAATGTGCTGCACATATCTAAACTGTGATAATAAGTTTTTTTTATGGCAAAACTTTCAGACTTTGTCATTTAAATTCCATATAAAAGTAGAATTATTATTATTATTTATTTTTTATTTTTTTGCGAGTGTCAGACAGTATAATGCATTGGTTGAAAAGTGAGAGTGCAAAAAAATAATAGTAATAAATCGTGTAAAAAAAATTGGCAAACACACGGATCAAAATGTCAGAATTGTCACAATCATGTTAGTTTATAGTCAGTTGTGTTTCAGTTTGGTGTCTGGTGATGTGTTTTATGTTGCTCTGTTCCTGTTCGAATTACTGTTGGATATGTTAAATATGATCTTTTTGCATTCACCTTCTTTTTTCATGTGTTTATAGACCTTATGCAGCAGAGAAACGTGGGCGCCGTCATCTTTAGAATATTGTCTTTGAACTTCTGTTTTTGTGGTCGCTCTGTATATTTCTATGGCATCGCTGTTGAGGAGTAATAAGCTGGTGAAGTGGATTTACTTATTGTGAATTTTTTTTACGAACAGTTCATTCATACCTATGCTGTGGAAATAAAGAACGGAAGTAAAAAAAAAAACGAGCGCAGCGCTGAAAAGGGGCGGGGCTACATAAGGACTATACAACCACCCCGTGTGACAATAATAGCAAAATGCAACTATGCAGTTATATTTAAAATATAAATACGATATAAAGGATTCATAACGATTTTTAAAGCTGTGCATATGTAACATGTAATATAATTTTACATGTTGTCAATATGCCCATATTGTATGTTTCAGCGAACATCCAAATATACACAACAGTTCAAAAGTTTGAGGTTAGTAAGATTTTGTTTTTTTTAAAAATACAAGGATGCATTAAATTGATCAAAAATGACTAAAGACTTTTACATTGTTAATGTACAATCAAGACTGGACTAATGATGCTGAAAATTCAGCTTTGTATCACAGGAATAAATTACATTTTAAAATATAACCCGATAAAAAGCTGTTATTTTAAACTGCAATCTATAATATAATCATAATATTACAGTTTTTACTATATTTTTGATCAAATAAATGCAGCCTTGGTAAGCATACAATACTTTTTAAAAAATCTTACCCTGCCCAAACATTTACACACCATCATGTGTTCTTGTACTAAGAGCTGGTTCATATGGAAGTTAGTGCTAGCATATATCAACTATACTTGTAACACTCCACATATCACTGTTAAACCATTAGAATTGAATTTCATATTCTGTTATTGAGCTTAAATATACAGTGTGGCTTGAAATAGCTTTAGTATGCTGAATAACATTGCTTTTTCAGAGTTTAAAGGCAATGGATACTGGATCAAGTGACAGACATTTTGTATTTACCATCTGAGATTGTAGTCTTACAGAGAATGATAATGACTGTAATAAAAAAAAACAGATGCATCAGTAAAAACAATATGCCTGGTAAAACCATACCTCTAATGTAGTATTGTATTGGGCTAAGACGTGGGCTGAATGGTCTTAATTGGCTGTTTTTTTTTTCTTTTTTTTTAACTATAGCCTTAAGCTCTAAACTGATGAAACCTGCTTGCAGATGTCAGAATAAACGCAAATACAGGTTTCCCAGTAGCAGAGTTGCAGGTGAGTGACATCGTCTCGTCACATGTCAGACAGAATATTATTATTTATTTTTTTTTGCCAGTGTCCACTTAATACAGTGGGGAGAATAAGGATGCTAAGAGGCTTAGAAACATGAACCAAATGGCATGATGTTGAATTCAGATGACCTGTCTGATAATCTCTGTGTCGACACTCAATTTCCTCGACTTGATCTCCTAGACAAAGGTAAATCAACCCTGACTCTACTGGCTACATGAATCACCCAATGATCATGACGGTGACGAAGATAAAAACCTTCTAGAGTTGTGTAGATTCCTAAAGAAATCTAAACTGAAAATATATTGTGTGCTATTTCTATTTGGAGTGCATACAAAACAATCAGGATGCTAAAAGGCATCTAAGAAGTAAACACTTCACATTTGTTTCATTTTTGTTATATATTTGATTCCTTTAAGACTGATTCCAAATGATGGTTTCAATTGGATATTCAATTGGACTGTTTACGTCTACATTTTGGACTACAGACTGTCTTTAAAGATCTGGTTTTGTCGTAAAGCCCTGCAATAATAATTTCAATGAATGAATACACAGGAAGTACTCATTAATATGACTACAAACGTTTCATTAAGTATAAGCCTCTCCAATTAAAGAGTAACATCCTTAAACAAAGGTCTTAACTGAACAGGCGGCGTTCTGTTTTAGTCGAATGTTATTTGGATTAACTAGCAGATGTTGGGTGTGTGTGATGATTCAAACATGAAAGTTTAGGTTGTCTTTTTTTGTTGCTAATTTGAATGCACCAATTACTATGCACTACGCACTGCTTAGTTTCCCCACTGGAGAAGCTGTTCCTAGATCAGTGTACAAATGCGGGGAAGCTGACTTACACAGTGACTCCTTTGATCTTGCTGGCTTCCACGGTTGCAATCGAGTGTTTGGCTCCGGACTGCACATCCCATTCAACCCTCCACTGGTTACTCTTCGACTTGGTGCTGAGGAGGTTCACCCCTTTCTTTGCTTTCACCCTGTGAATAAGACACAGCAGTATAAATATACAGTATATGGCTGGAGTACAACAAGACTGTTTTGGCTCCAAGAAAGTGCTAGACACCTTGGGATACCCATTAAAGTCTCTGTTTTAGCCTTCCAATATCTTAAGTATCATATAAAGATTTTTAATGCTATCACATTTATCACTAGATGAATGCTCAGTATGAAAATGTGTTGTTTGGTTGTTAATTTAAAGGAACAACTGTTAATGGGTTTTTTTCATGAATTTTCATGGACAAACTTCATGTTGGGGTGCAAAAAAAAAAAAAAAAACTTAAAGGGATACTTCACCCAAAAAAATTTAAATTCTGTCATCATTTACTCACCCTCACCTGTATGAGTTTCTTTCTTCTGATGAACACAAAGCAAGATATTTTGAAGAACGATATTTTGACACCATTGACTTCTATAGTAGAAAAAAATATATACTATGGAAGTCAATGGTGCCAAAGTTCCAATCGTTCTTCAAAATATCTTATTTTGTGTTCATCAGAAGAAAGAAACTACTTGAGGGCAAGTAAATGATGACTAAATTTTCATTTTTGGGTGGAGTATCCATTTAATGTGTCTGTTCACATAGACATGAACATTAGCATGCTGTCATTGTGACAGATTTATTTAATTGATTTATTTCTTTATGGACAGTAAAACTTTGCCTCTCTTTCATTTAGCCTGTCCAATGTTTTTATCCACACTAATTAAATGCAAAAATCAGACCAATATTTAAAGGGATAGTTCACTTTGAAATACATTTTTGGTATATTTTAGCTTACCTCAAGGGCATCTAAGATGTAGGTGCCTTTGTTTCATGTAGTAGTTTCAATTTTGATATTTTTAGGTCAAACCGTGTCTGTCAGTCATATAATGGAGATCAATGGTCACCACCTCAAAGAGCATGCATCCAAAGTCCGAATTAAACATGATTTAATGACTCGTAAATGTAAGTACACATTGATGGCCTAAGACACGGTACAAGTGGTTTGTGTAAGAAAATGAACGGTATTTATATCGTTTTACCTATATCGTAAATCGGTAAAAAGTATATAAATACAGTTTGTTTTCTCACACAAACCGCTCGTTTCGTGTCTTAGGCCATCAATGTGTACTTACATTTACGAGTCATTAAATCATGTTTAATTTGGACTTCTCTGTGCATGCTCTTTGAGGTGGTGACCATAGACCTCCATTATATGACTGACAAACAAGAACGGTTTGACCTAAAAATATCAAAATTGAAACTACTGCGGAAACAAAGACACCTACATCTTGGATGCCCTTGAGGTAAGATAAAACATATCCAAAATTTATTTCAAAGTGAACTATCCCTTTAATGCCCAAACTTTGTGGTAATGTGAACGGGCCTAAAGTGTTAAATTTTGCAACTCAAATAAGTAAAAAAAAAAAAAAAAAAAATTATAAAAGCGAAACAAAACACAAACCAAAATAAAACAAAAAAACAACAACAAAAAAAATGGTATATAATAAATGTTTACATTAAAATAACTGTAAAACAGTAAAACAAAATAAAGATATCCAATGTTCAGTACTTGCAGGAATAATTTCTGTTATATAAATGCTCATTTGCACAAAGGTTGTCAATCTGTGCTGCAAACCAAATCCTATTTCCACATGACTTCTGCTTCTTCATTATGACCTCTGAGACTTTACATCTAAAAATCATCTTCTGTGCATCAATTTATGCACACTAAATCTCATACTCATCATATACATTTCTCCTCTGTCCATTAATATTCAAAAACATCAGCCTTTTCTCTGATCCGCAACCAGATTCCGATGCTAAAATCCCTGTGGAAAACACCCCCGCTCTTTCAGAGAAGCCATGGCTTCAAAAGCCGCAGTTGTGCTGTGTTTCGATAGAAGCTGCTGCGGTTCATACATGCGCTGCTTCACACCTCGAATCGGTGCAGTGACACAAGACTTGGTAAAGCCTCTGGATTACATACCACTCTCTAAGAGTTGCTACTATCTGATATCAACCTAAAGCAGAGAGAAACCACCGCTTAGAGCTCTGCCCACAGCAAAGAGCCATTCAGCTGCAATGCCGCAAAATCGGAGGACACGTGAAGACGAGACGTGAAAAAAAATGAGATAGAAAAAAGAGAGAGAGTTTAGAATCCGTTGAAATATCAAAATAGGGAGATTATGCTTTCATCCGTTGTAAATTAAACAACTAAAAAGTTCACATCATTATGTTTCTCAAACATTATTAATCCTGGTAATGAAATGATTTGATGAGCCAAAATTGAAGCAGCTGTGTATACACACACACACACACCTGTGACTGAATTCTATATTAATGCCTACATTGTTTGTCTTATTAATTGATACACTGTGAAAATATTTTTCTAAGTTGTAAATACAACTAAGATTATTGGAGAACAACATTTGACAAGAAAACACAATTTCGGTGTTTCGACTTTAACATTTCATGTTTAATTCATTGTGATGCTGTTTCTTTGTAATTACTGTGTATTTATGTATTTTCGAACACATTCTGAGTGAAAATAGTTTCAAAGCAAATCCTACACAATGTTTTTCCCCCAGTGTACAGTGTATTAATGAGTTGATACAACAGAATTAGCATGTTAAACAGTCTACAGCTAAATAATTAATAAAGTTGATAAGGCTTATCACTTGGCAGAGTAATTTTTTACTGTGATTATAGTAATATCTATATAACATATTAGCATAAGACTGACATGAGACCTTCATAACCATGACATGACATATGTTATGAATATGAAGTAGGGTTTATGCATGTTTATGACAAGTGTCATTAAATGTTTTTCGCTCAATAATGACATTTTGAATGCAAATATGACAAATATTGTTTAAGATGTCTTTGTTATGACATCTTGACATAAACCGATACATCATAACCTTGACATAAAATGAAGTTAAACTGTCATGTGGTTGGCTTTGACATTGGCTGTCATGAGGCATTATAACTGTCATGAATATTTTTCGTGAGCTCAACTACAGTGGTACTAATTGAATTTGTCATCAAAATGTTATAATGGCTTCATGGCAGCCAATGTCAAAACCAACCACCTGACAGTTTAATGTAATGTTAACCAATAAAGCTAGGTGGTTTCTTAAGTTTTATAATTAATCTGCTGTCATGTTTATGACAGGTTGTGTTGTGTTAGTTATGTCAAGCTGTCACGACAAAGACACTGATAGGTTATGATGTATTGGTTTACGTCAAGGTGTCATAAAGACATATTCGCATTAAAAATGTCATAACTGAGCGAATGACACTGATAGTTGTAACAAACAAGCATAACACATATGTCATGATTATGAAGGTGTCATGTCAGTCTTATGAACACTCCTTCAAGTAAAGTACCATTTTATTCTAGCTTCATGAATTCTTTTTATCAACACTTGAATGTGAGTAAGCAAATTTTCATTTTTCAACAAAAAGCTGAGCAAATCACGCTTTTCTCAAGGACTTGGAGAAGTCATCACTTGATTGGATTCAGAAAGATAATCAACACATACAGTAGATCAACACTCCCAGAACTTCACGGTCCTATAGCTCCCCCTGGGTCCACATTTCTGTTTAGACAGTTTTGATTAATATGCTGTTTAATGTTTGATGATCATGTTGTTTTAAGCAATGCGCTTATTTTTCATGGAGATGCGGAGAAGATGCTCAATACCTCCCTACTGTATAACAATGATTAATGGAAATTTCCGTCAATGGCAGGGAAGCGTTGTGTCATAAATGATGGAAATTTCCGTCAACGGCGTGGAAAGAGTTAAAGGGATACTCCACTTTTTTTTTTTTTTTTGAAAGAAAAGGCTCATTTTACAACTCCCCCAGAGTTAAACAATTGGGTTTTACCGTTTTCTAATCCATTCAGACAATTTTCTGATATTTGGAAGAATATCAGTAACCAGACAGTTTCTGGTCCCATTGACTTCCATAGTATATATATTTTTTTCCTACCATGGAAGTTAATGAGACCGGAAACTATCTGGTTACTGATATTCTTCTAAATATCAGAAAATCGGCTGAATGGATTCGAAAACGGTAAAACCCAACTGTTTAACTCTGAGGGAGTTGTAAAATGAGCCTATTTCCAAAAAAAAAGTGGAGTATCCCTTTAAGGGATACAATAATTGACTATAGGGCACTTTATATTAGAACTTCACAGGAAAGTTCTGCAAGGCGGCTGATCTTCTATATTATGATCTTCTACACACTAAATGGTTGACCAAACACTCGTAACGTAACGAAACATTCATTGATAGCTCTAGGAATAACTCAGTCCGGTTAACCTCAAAAACTCTGTCCTTTCTCTTTGAACCACTGCTTCGAATTGCACTTACCTGATAAAAGGCGACCCCTGCTTTGAGGAGTAGACCATGACCAATAGCAGAGGCTTCAGTCGCCCATTTCAACAACTCCGTCAACTGAGCCTTATCTCATCCCCTCAGCCCCTCCATCAAGCACACTATTAATGATCACAGGCTGTACTGCACTTTTATATATATATTAAATACCAGAAAAAAAGCAGGTCTGACAGTAAAGTCTGGCTTTTAAATCAATCTGGTTTTTAAATCAAACACAGTAATGTTTAGATGGAGAGATAATAAAATGTAGCTCTTTAGAGTACACAGTGAAAATCTAGAAATGCAGATGACTGGCGGGTGACCTCGTCATTTTGTGCGATGATAGAGAGTACCGTGCAACAATTAGATTATTCAATTTATTAAGCATATAGCGCTGAATTACTTTATCTTAAACGCCTTAAATTCTCCACATTAATTAACAGTAATCCACAGTTAATCATCAAATGTAGCAAATGTCTTACGTCTTCAGGCCATATGCTCCGAAATGAGGAATTTCATTAGCCAGAAAAGGAACAAATCAGTACTTTAAAAGCGCACTCACACCCGGTTTCACAGACGAGGCTTAAATCTAGTCCCAGACTAAAATTAATGAGCGC